CTCACTTCTCTTGCTTTTAATTCTACTGGAGTGTGTGAGCTGTATAAACTCTGTATTTCTTGCTAGTGTGGTGTTTTTAGCTCATGGAGTGTGACCTGTACATGCTAAGAACAAGCATATATGAGGCTTGCATCGTGTGCTGGCATGTGCAGGTAGCTGCCTAGCACACCAAGCACATGCGGCTATACAAATTCTGTACTGGACCAGTCTCATGGAGTGTGACACATGCATGCTAAAACATGTGTTGCTATTATAGCACATCATTAATTTTGCAATTGTAAGGTTTGACAAATACATTAGGACTGTCATTTCTGAGTTGTGTACTGTGACCACATTGTCTAGTTTTGATCGAGGAGTGTGACATATACATGTTGAAAACATGTATATGCGGGGCTGCATGTGAGCTGAAACAATGTCTGCGTGTGTGAGGCACCTAATGTTACGTAACTTTCACCTTAAGTCCTGTGACTGTGCACGCATCTCCAACTATTTAACTGACAAGACAACTGCATGTTTCATTCTCAACTACTTGAGTGCTGAAGAGAAGCCAAGGAGGATATATACTATTGCAGCTCTTTACTGTTACATGTGCATATCTGTTTGGACTTATCCATAGCAAACTGCTACTACATCTCCATGTGAGTATGGAACCACTGTTGCTTTTTACAAGATATTTATAAAGTCTAGGGTTGCAAGTTTCCTAAGGTGGTCTCAATAGCATTTTGCATGTGCCACTTAAAATCTTCTAAAACATGTGTTGCTAGCACATTAATTTTGCATTTTCCATTTGTAAGGTTTGACAAACACATTAGTACTGTCATTTCTGAGTTGTGTACTGTGACCACATTGTCTAGTTTTGATCGAGGAGTGTGACATATACATGTTGAAAACATGCACATGCGGGGCTGCATGTGAGCTGAAACAATGTCTGCATGTGTGAGGCGCCTAATGTTACGTAACTTTCACCTTAAGTCCTGTGACTGTGCACGCTTCTCCAACTATTTAACTGACAAGACAACTGCATGTTTCATTCCCAACTACTTGAGTGCTGAAGAGAAGCCAAGGAGGATACTATTGCAGCTCTTTACTGTTACATGTGCATATCTGTTTGGACTCTACTACATCTCCATGTGAGTATGGAACCACTGCTTGCAAGTTTCCTAAGGTGGCCTCAATAGCATTTTACATGTGCCACTGAAAATGTTCTATTGCACATAACAGGGTATCATGTCAAAATCATTACACCGTTTGTATTCGATGCAGTTCAACTGAAGCAGGCGTCGACTAGACTGGAGACCCAGCAGAGACAGATGGAGGATCTGCAGCAGAGATTTCTTTACTTCTCCTTGCAAATAAACTCCACTATCCAGGTGCTGAAGACATGCTAACCTACTGGAATGAGTTGGCGAGCCAACGCAAGTAGTTCATTTTTCACTCCAATACTTAGAATCACATACAGACATTATGGTACATGTATACCCGTGCCACATATAGTGTAATCCTAAACCCACATTCAGACGACTAGGTATTACTCTCCCTACACGAGTGAAGAGCCATGCAAGTTTTTAATGTGTGAACATCTTGTAATTGATTCCTTATTCTGTGAATTCAGTGATAACTGATAAGCTGTCCTAATCAAAGATGGACTGTCATCCAGCAATGCATAAGGGGATTTTTGTTATGTAACATTGCATAAAGGTATGTGGCTGTGTAACTTGTGCACAATATAGACAAAGTTACACTGTCTCTCTCAACCTGCTAACAGGCCCAGAGTGGACTGGAAGCTAAGACTACTAAACTGCAGCAAGAGAACTCCAGAGAATGAAGACCAAGATCTCCCAATTGGAGCATCACCCTCATGAAGCCGGGCATCTCAGTTCTCTCACTGTTGGACCAGGCCATCAGCGACACCTTCCCTCCACTGGGGAGGAGGGAGAGGGAGCTTTGCCACGAGATGGAAGAGGAGGATGTTGGGCTGAACACGTCACTTCTGCAGGGACTAAGGAGGATCCAGGAAAGGGAGGAGTGCGGTGCCACAGGGTGTAAAGTGGGTGTGGCTTCTCTGAGCGATGTGTCAGGGACGGGGAGACGTTGCCGATTAGTGGGGATTTACCACGATTCCCACGGGCTAGCTTGTGGGTGGAAGTCACTGGAGGAAATGAACTCTGACCTTGTCAAATCACCCATTCCCTCGCCCCCTGTTCTACCGACATATGCAACGACTCCAGACCATTCCACCCTGTGCTGCATGGTCACGGTCCCATGTCACCATGCTCCATTCCAATCCCCCAACAGTTGTCCATGTCGCAACTTACACAGAGCACAAGTACCACAACAACAGTCACGGACCCCATCACCACGGCAACCGTCGTCATGGATACCACCAACTTTTTGAATCGCCATAGGAACCAGGATGACGTGGTGTTCCCCGGCAACAGTAATAGCAACCGCTCGTCGCCGTATGGGTTCCTCGGTACCATGGCAACGCCAGACTCCAGAGTGGGTGAGAGTGATTTCTCAACTGGACGGCAGAGCAGGCTGTCCCGGGATGGGGAGTGTGTTGTCCCGTCTGGCGATGTACTGGAGGAGGGAGTGAGAGCTCAACCCCGCTGCCGGTCGGTGGGATGGGGTACTACGGAGTGGATGGGGGAGAGTGGGGGAATTACTCCGAGGTCAGACAGCTCGCTTAGTCTCCGCAGCTGCTCAAGCAGTGGTAAGGACCCTGTTTCTGCCATCTTCGCTCCAACTTCTGTCGTGTGACGATTTTTGTGCTCCCATTGTAGCTGTTAACCCAGAACCACTTAATTTGTGCATACACACTAACTTTCTGTGTGTCTTGTGTATGGAACTAGGGCCTCACGAAGGCAACACAATTTTTGGCTGTAAATTCAGCATGAATCGCAGGCCCTCGCTCCTTCTTTCTTCTTGCTGAGCTCTTGATGTCTCACCCTCACGTGCTCCTCCCATCCTCCCTCTCCCCTCTCCCTCTCCCCCTCCCATCCTCCCTCACACTCCCTCTCCCCCTCCCATCCTCCCTCACAGACTCCAGTGTCATGGGTGACACAGTCATCCAGTGCGGATCGTCCACTGTCGTCGTCGTCTCCACCTCGGGGAAGAAATCACCCAATCCCGACCACACCCAGGTAACTGGTCAACTACAAAAGACAACAGTTTATTAGTATGCACTCGCAAGTGTGAAAACGTGTTTAGTAGTAACTTGCATCAGGTTAACTAAGTGCCCCCTGTGTGATTTCCCTGCGCAACTTGCACATGTGTAAAAACAAGTGCACATTAATTGGACTATGTACTTTATAAATAGCATCTTGTCTGTTGAGTCAAGTCATAGGGCCCTTGCGTTGTAGTGTTTTGGTCCGGTAGTGCTGATGTAATGTGACTGTAAGTGTAGTTGATTGTCATGTGACTGTGTGCAGGTGAAGCTGTTTGTCAAGTACATGCCACACTGCTGCAGTCCTGAAAAAGCTGTCTCCCTGTTCCTGGTGTACGGGAAAGTCCATCTCCTGGAGTACCACTCTGAACACAGAGATAAACTCTTCCTCGTAGGTTTAGTGGAGGGGAGGGGGGCTTTTGTAGGGGAAAACCCACAATACACGGCAATTTTAGAATTTTCTTTTTCTGCACTTGCTGCTGAATCCAGCATCTGCACCCAAGAATACGGGCTTGTCTTTTCCATGCTTACTTTTGCGCATATTGCACACTTGTACTTTCTGTTTGTCGTAATCTTAACTATACTTTTGCCACTCTTCTTTAGTGAACGTTTTCTTTATCTTACCAAATGTCCTGTTTTTTACACTCGTACTTGCTGTTTGTCTCAATGTACTTGCCTGCCCTTCTTTAGCTACACCTCTTCCCGATTTGAACAATACCTTCATCTCACCAAAATGTCGTTCCTTCTTTCTCTCAACTGTCAATAGATCATGGACAGAGAAGGAGGGCTGCAGGCCATGTCTGGTCTCAATGGAACAAGGCTGCCAGGAAGTCCCAAACCTCTCTCCGTACAACTCTACGTAAGTGACTTTCTGACTACTTTTGTATCTGCAGTTGTGCTAAATCCATTGTTGGAACCTCTGATAAGGGACGCTCCCAGATATAGACGACCCCTCTACAAAGGACACAACCCCATGATGTTGTTTTATTTGACCTCCGAGATAAAGACGACCCCTCTACAAGGGATGAAAATCATTGGCCCCCATAGTATCCTTATTCGTATTGTATGGCCTTCAGGGAGTTATAGCAAACGAAAATGCTGAGATTTCTAGGTTGAGTAGGTCTTTGAATAAACACTTTTACATGCTGGTTAGCATTCATATTCTTGGCCCTCCTCCCTCCCTCCCTCCCTCCCTCCCTTCCTCCCTCCCTTCCTCCCTCCCTCCCTCTCTCCCACTCTCCCTCCCCCTTCATGCAGAGATCTGTGCCAGTCTCGACTACACCAATCGTCCAGAGAGCTGACAGCATCACTGCTGACAAGACCCTCCGAGTAAGGATGTGTACAGTATTTTATATTGGGTCATTAAAAAAAACAGTAACCAACCAGTCGTTCGGAAACTGTTATGGCGCATACATGTATTTAGTGTACTCTTTTATATATTGTCCTGACACACACGAGTTAAAGGTCTTCAAGGCTGAGAAAAACCTGTTACAAGCTACTGTAGAGACTGGGCAATTGTACTATGTATGTATGTATGTATGTATAATATATGTATGGTGAATACTTCTACTGTATGTATATACAGTCAGGGGAATCTTACTCATTCGTTTTTTTCCCTCAGCTGTTTGTCAAGAACGTCAAATCAAACACGACGACGGAAGAGATTTCTGAGCTGTTTTCCGTCTACGGACGAGTGTTTGACGTGCAAAAAGCATCCAAACAGACGCAGTGTTGCCTTTGTGGTGAGTGCCCCATAGTACCATACAACAGTTACTTGCCCCGGAATCAACAACTTCCTGTTCTTTTATGTAAAGTGAATCATACTGTAGGGGAGGCAAAGTCACTGCGCATGCGTGCCGAGGGTTAGTAACGCAGAAAATTGCATGTACCTAGTTGCTATAAACTATTGTGAGATGTTTTGTATGTCTCCTGCAGTACATGTGTGAGGAGGGAGGCAACAAGGCCATTTCCAGCCTCAATGGCTTCACCTCCAACCAGACCAGCAAACCACTCATTGTCGAGCTCAGCCATGAGGTAGAGTAATGAAGTGTGTGTGTATACAGTGAACTCTGGGGCCAACGATTTTGTCCCTTGTAGAGAGGTCATTCCCTATCTTGGAGGTCAAATAGCATAGGGTTGGGACATGTAGAGAAGTTGTCCCTATCTCGGAGGGTCACTTCTCAGAGGTTCCACCTCCTGTTTCTCACCATTATACTTGCACATCTTTGCAAGCAACAAGATTTATGTTTCTCTCTCTCTCTCTTTCCCTACTCCAGCCAACAGGAGCAGTCTCACTAAACGTTTGATCCAGAGCAGCTATAAAACTCAGACCAACCAGCCATACATTATTGTAGTTACTCACATAATCAACTATATACCCCACCTAAGAAAACATAGTTAATTGACATTGCATCATCATCATAAACTATTAATTACTTGTCAGCAGAATCACTTGCTTCATCAAAGAGACAATTTTACTTTCATCTTTTGGTGATTTTAAAGCTCTCTGATTTTTTTCACAATCAATGAAAAGCACTTGAAAGTGCCTAACCCTCGCCACTTTATTTCAGCAGCCAATCGCTACTAGCTCAGCTTTTTCACATGCGTGTTCAATACTACAGCAAAGTGAAAAGCACTTGACAGTACATAACCCTCACCACTTTATTCAGCAGCTACTAGTTACACTACATAAGTGACTCCTTCACTGAACGGATTCACTGGGCGTGTGCTGCTGTCACTTCACCAGCAATCTCGCTCCTACTCAACTGTAAGTACCATCAATAGCACAGCGATCGTTCGCGCGATCTCACACTCACCTCGACAGCCGCCCGTTTCACCAGCTTCCCTGGCCTTCTCCGCTCCAGAATCTTATTTTACCATGCATGCCTCCTACTTGATAATATGTCCACGTTTCACGCTCAGAGTTGCCGAGAAAAGCGGTGGACAGACGGACGGACAGACGCACACACAGCTAGACAGACCAACTGCAATTACCCTCTCTGCGCATGCGCGCAGGCGAGGGTTAATAATAGGTTGCGCGCATGTACACGTGACGCGTTCGAGTCTTACGTAACGGTATGTTTGCGCATGCGTAATTTTATTTCGGGTGCTGCCAGAGTCTGCTGCGAGGACTGATAATTTTTGCAGAATGTCACTAACTCTTTGGATCCACGCAACTGCCCTTTGTACCTTCCTTCAGCAAGGTATGGCAAACTAGTTAGTCCGTGTAGTATGCTGGCTTAGCTTCATTGTGACGATTTCCTTTGTTTATTCATGCAGCTTAGCTATCACGCGACCTACGGGATCACTGCTTACATGTATAGCTAAAGCTTTCTTTTCCAGCTAAACGTGTGCTGCAGGAAGTTCAATAATACTGATGGGAGGGCTACAACTAGTGAATAAACTTGTTTTCGCAGCACTACATAGCAGTACTATCGCAAAGTGTATTATCATCACTGTATGTACAAGAGACCCAGGTCTATCCTAACAGGTTCTGCACAGACTGGCACCGTGCCATGCTTCACTGGACTTGGTTGTGCTTCTGGTAGTGTTGGGGAACAGGTTTCAGTATTGGCCTGCTGTAGCCTGCCTGATACCATCTCATTCAGACCTAATGTGGGCAACGAATCATGCTTTACGTGTTATGGTAAGCTATACTGACATCAGTGTTTGGAACTGAACTTTTTTGGGGTTCTATCAGGGTTTAGATGGGTACAGAGTATCAGCAGTGATGTGAAGGCACACTGCTTTGTATTGTGTAGCAGATTTGGCCACTGCACCATAAAGGGTCCCTTTGGGTAGCACAATGACAGTGCACAAATCAGTAAACCATCATTCACTATTTTACTAAGATGCAGTAGTGGGCAAATAAAGTGCATGGATGAGTGGTTTGCCCCTGCCTCCACTCTGTTTTGATATATAGCTAATAGTAACCCTTCTACCCTGTACACTTGCCACGCTATCCTATAAAGTAGGTCAAGAGTTTAAGGGGAAGATCCAGTAAACCCTTGTTAAGCCCACATATCCAATGGGCAGACAAACAAGTTGCTGTATAGGGATAATACTGCCACAATTTCTAGAACTAGAATGAATGCAATGCACTTGTTGGCAAGTGAAGTGCAGAGCAGCTTAATAATTATGGCGCGTGTTTAGAATCACATACAACATCAGACGCTCTATAGGGATGGCACGGGTGAAATCTCACGTGATCCATGTACAAAACACCTCAAAACTCCGCAAGAATAACTCGCTAGGCCTTCTAAACACACCAGCAACAACTAGTATCGGGCCCACCTCTAGCTATACATAAGCCTAAAGCGTTCATACATGCCTTCAGTTTGGCACGCAAGAATCGGCTCATACGCGAGTTCATGATTTTCGTGTCATCACAATAATTATTCTTCTTCATCATCATCTTCTTCTTCAGTAAACAGATTATCTCCTTACCGCAACCAGTTGAAGCGCTGATGTTTTCACTAAACATCTCCACAGTCGACGGAGGTGTGCACGGACATCAAGCGATCGTTTTCCCCCTGCAGTACATCTCTACGGTAGATCATGTGGCTCTTCACGGTAGACACTGAACGACGCCATTTGCTGCTAACTCAGCATGCACGGTGGGGGGAGTTGTCTGTGTGCGCGTGTGTGTGCGTATGAAGAGCGGTGCACGCGGTGAACAGTTGCTAACTTTCCTACATCTCCTTAGTGTTGCGGCTGGCTTTGCCCAAATTAAAAAAATGAGTGAAAACATCAGCGCTTCAACTGGTTGCGGTAAGGAGATAATCTGTTTACTGAAGAAGATTATGATGAAGAATAATATTGTGATGACACGAAAATCATGAACTCGCGTATGAGCGGATTCTTGCGTGCCAAACTGAAGGCATTTATGGACGCTTTAGGCTTGCACACATCTGGATGTTATGAGGTTTTTGATTGCCTAATGCATTCATGACTAGCAAACACTTCTGAGGAAAACAAAGATGTAGGGAACATACTGTGTGAGCCACAAATGACGGTGGTAAAACCTTATTATTATGTGACCTATTATGTAGCAATCTTCTGCTCTTCTTTAGACCCGTTTGTCGTTGCATTTGTGGACACGATGTACACTATTGATGAGAGCATGGGGTCAGTGAGTGTCTGTGTCAATCTGACTCAACCGCAAATTGACATTCTCGATGAAACTGTCAATGTGTTTGTCATGGATAACTCCAGCTCAGTCTATATCCCAGCTGATGCCCCTCTGGCTAGTGAGTCAGAGTACATTGTGAATACTGCTTTTCCCCCCGTATGTTGTTCTTCTCCCTGCTGCACCACCAAGTGTGTCACATTTGTTAGAGCACTCTGCCTAGACAAGGATGTAAAGAAGGGTTTCGAATTCCACCCAAGGCAGCAATTTTTTTTTCAACAAAAGAGCTATCCTGGGAGCAAATGTGTTGCTTGCCTTTTCTTTTTCTTTTTCTTCCCTTGTATCGGATATCTACACAGTGATCTATTTTCTCCAGCTCCTGATCCTCCAGACCTTCTGAGTCAGTACGCAATGATAGAGGGATCTGACTATGCCCAGCAGACCAGCGCTGTCAATGTCATTGACGATACTCTGATTACAGAGTTGATGAGAATTGTTTGCTACAGTCAACCCATCTATGATGACCTACGTTTGGAGCTGGATGAATTTGTGGGTCTTCGTCTTGGAGTGAAGGACAATGAACTCACCACAGTCCTCACAACAGTTCAACCAATGTATGACCAGACGTCGATTCTTATTGTGGATAATGACAGTGAGTTCATTGGTGGGGCTTCCCCCATTGCCTGCAACTGATATTATTGTTATGGACTTGCCCTACAAAATATTCAATGCAAGGAAGTTGTGGCAAGTATTAGAATGTAGACTAAAGACAGAATTATCAAAACAATTTTGCTGTTCCTTGAGCAGCTCAGTATAACAGTATCTTATATTATTCTGTGATGGATAATTGTGCCTTGAACAGGTCTATAACAATGTCTTGTTCTCTAGTGGCCGTGGTGGGTCTGGAGCAGACTTTCTTCCGTGTGGAGGAGAATGTCGGTTTGATTCAAATCTGTGTCAACGTTTTGTTCCCTGGAATAAACTGTCCGATTGCATTTCCATTTGAAGTCCTGTTGTCTACTGCTGATGGAACTGCAGGTAAACTCTACTGTGTATACCTACGCACAGTGTGATTTTTCATTGTCCACAGTCCAAGCAATGGACTATCAGCCACTTGATGTGACACTGATGTTTGAAGCCTGCGAGACACGAAGATGTGTTGATGCCGAGATAATAGATGACACAGTGGAAGAGCCAGATGAAGTATTCACCTACACTCTGAGGCGAACACCGGACCTGGATCCAAGGATTGAACTTAACCCAGTCGATGGACAAGTTGAGATAGGCGATGATGACAGTGAGCACAAAAAACCCTACGGAAAATCATTTCTATGAAATGAAGGGGGATGTAGGGATGTCAAGTCATTAACCCTCGACGCGCATGCACAGCGAGGGTTACAGTACTTGGTTCGTACGTGTGTCCGTCTGTCTGTTGGTTACCACGTTTTCTGTCACCACGCGCAAGAAATCGGCCAAAGAGCGATAGCTAGTAGCTAACGGGTTCGGTGCTACATTGGCTTGATTTTAAAAAAATAAACTGCGTTATAAAGTTATATATGGCGTGTAAACCAAGTGAATGAAAAGTACTAAAGTGCAAACCCTCTGCGAACTGCGCATGCACGATACTGCTAATTGATGGGCTGGGATACTTGTATGCATTTACTTATGGTCTCCCACTAGTAGCTCGCGGAGAGTCTGATACGGGCTAGCTACAGCAGTAGATAGCATGCGGGAGTCGATACATACCATTCGTTGGGACTTCCTGAGCCCCCAAGGGAGCAGATTGGCACACACTAAGGCTCTCAACACTGCATAAGTTACCACTAGTTGTGGAAATACCAATGTGGCGCCATGGGTTATGGAAGAAAGAATGATGCTCCATGAGATTGCAGCTATAACAACATTGCCATACCCGTGGTTAATGAAGTGCAAATACACCTGTGCATCCATAACAACACCCTCATACCAGAGGAAATGAAGTGTAAACCCTTGGATGACACAATTTTTTGAGAAACACTGCTATAATGAAAAGCACTAAGGTGCAAACCCTCGGCTCAAAATGCGCACGTTTGTGGTTTTGTAAGCTAGGTGGGCTATTTCAAAGTGGTTCGTACCAAACAGTTGTTTCGCTTAACAGGGTTCGTATTAATGAGGTTCCACTGTAACTACAAAATTGAATATACGATGAACAAATTGGATGAAGGGTATCTGCTATGAGTTCATTAGTGCTTATCAGAGTAACCAAATGACATGTTGTTGCAAGTAGCTATGCAGTAACACAGTTCAGCTATGAGAGGAGCATTATTGTGCATTGAACATGACGGGATGGAGTGTCTGTGCTTTGATAATATATAGCTCAGAGGGATCCTTCAACGTAGAAATGAGAGTTCTTCTTTAATCCTGTCATGTATGAGATATTTGTTGGATAGCCTGTATAGGAGGGATGGTAATACTGCATTAAATATAAAATTGGTCAAGTGATATACATAGAAACATAGCACTACTCCATAGTGACTATGTGTACCACACTGAAAGGCTCTCACATTCGCTTTTTGCATTCTACTGTGCTTCATTGCTTGGGATATATTGCCAGACTGGGCTTTACGGGAAGGCATGGCCGCATCCATAAACTGCTCGTCTAACGTGAACCGCTGTGCTACATTGCGGACATACCTTGCTCAGTTTGTTGTCCATCGAGAACAGAGATCAACACTGACAGAGGAGAGAAACTCAAGAACCGCTTGCTCGTCCAAGGTCAACTAAAATAAACACGTGGCATCTCGCATGCTCCGGCAAAGGATAGCTAGGGCAACATACGCGCGTGCGCGATGGATCGCTCACGTCTGATGCTCTGCGTGCGCGATGGATCGCTCGCGTACGCTTTTTTCACGCCATATCTCTTGAACGCAGTCGTTTCAGGAAAATCGCCACATTCATATCCATCTTCTCGTTGTTCACAACCTGTTGGTGCCACTCATTGGCCGCCTTGTAGCCTGTAGTGCGAGAACTCGCGCGGACAGACAGAATGACAGAACGACTACTGTAACCCTCGCTGCGCATGCGCGCCGAGGGTTATCCCTAGCCCTAGACCTCATGCAATACACAATAGAATGCACCCATACAAACTCAACCAGAAACAAAAACTGTTAATAATCAAACAGCTTCTGCCATAATGAAATCCTGGCCACTCAATGGTGCTATTAATGGCGAAAACACGTGATCATTATGCGCAACCCGCCAGTGTAACACGCGCATGCGTTTCTTTTTCTCGGTTGGTGCAATCGGGATACCTGCTCAGCTGCACTCAGCGTTTAGCTTAGCTATTAGGTTTTGCTGCACTCGACACTCGTCTTCCGTTTATGGCATGCTTCCGTTGATACATAAACAGCAACAAAAATTCGGTGGATGTAAAAGCGAATACTAAACTTACGGACCAAGTATCGTAACCCTCGCTACGCATACGCGCCGAGGGTTAATAACAAGCCAATTGCTATATAATTAGCACAGGCTTACCTATAACGAGTCCGCTTGCTCTGTGCATCTTAATTAAAGGCACAACAAGAAGTCACAACGAAGGGCATGTATCGACTCCTGCATGCTATCTACTACTGTAGCTAGCCCGTGTCAGACCCTCCGCGAGCTACTAGCGGGAGACCGCGAGTAAACGCATATTACTACTGCGTCTACCGACGCTCTGATTATTCTGTGATGGATAATTGTGCCTTGAACAGGTCTATAACAATGTCTCATTCTCTAGGGGCCGTGGTGGGTCTGGAGCAGACTTTCTTCCGTGTGGAGGAGAATGTCGGTTTGATTCAAATCTGTGTCAACGTTTCATTCCCTGAAATAAACTGTCCGATTGCATTTCCATTTGAAGTCCTGTTGTCTACTGCTGATGGAACTGCAGGTAAACTCTACTGTGTGTACCTATACCTACGCACAGTGTGATTTTCATTGTCCTCAGTCCAAGCAATGGACTATCAGCCACTTGATGTGACACTGACATTTCAAGCCTGTGAGACACGAATATGTGTTGATGTCGAGATAATAGATGACACAGTGGATGAGCCAGATGAAGTATTACCCTACTCTCTGACGCGAACACCGGACCTGGACCCAAGGATTGAACTGAACCCAGTCGACGGACAAGTTGAGATAGGCGATGATGACAGTGAGTGGCAAAAACCCTAAATAATACGCAAGTGGAAAAATCATTTCTACAAAATGAAGGGGGATGTAGGGATGTCAAGTCAGGCAACAAGAAGATGCCTACACCAAGACAGATAGCTGGTCATTCATAACCCCATCCCTACATCTTTGTTTTCCTCAGAAATGTTTGCTAGTCATGAATGCAGTAGGCAATGAAAAGAGCACAAAACCTCATAACATCCAGATGTGTACATGAAGTGCAGATCTTGAAAGAAACAAAGATGTAGGGATGGGGTTATGAATGACTAGTTATCTGTCTTGGTGTTGGCATCTTCTTGTTGCCTTTCTTTTTAATGACTTGGCATCCCTACATCCCCCTTCCTTTCGTGGAAATGATTTTTCCACTTGTTACTGCATTATTATGACTGAATAAGCTTTTTTATCTTTCATATTGGGTTGCGGATTTGTTTCATAGATGCAGTTCAGACTGGGTTCAGGACGCCAGGGGATGGATGTATCACAGAGGGTGTGTTACAGGAGATCTGTCTGACTACTGTTGGATCTCCTGCAGTGGATACTGTGCTAACTGTCTCTGTCACTTATGACACTGCTGGATCTGAAGGTAAGTGGACCATGTACCATACATTTGAAGGATAAATCTCTTGGAATACATTGCAAAACTTTGCAACTCCCTTTAGCGTAAAAAAACATAATGCACAAGATATTCTCACTGTAATAACTCCTGCTGGCTATAATTATGTAGAAAGACACTGTTTTGAATCGTACTCTAATTGCAGTTTACAATTTTAGCATGAACACATCCTTTATGCTGGGTTGTGACCATGTGCAGACTTCGATCTGATCACGTCACAAGTGACCATCACTGAGACTAAGACTGAGCCGTGTGTGAGTTACCAGGCCATAGCAGACCGTCTGGGACTGGAGGGAGTGGAGAACCTCACTCTGTCTCTGAGTGGACCTCCCAATGTACAACTGACTACTGCCTCTCTACACATCTGCATTCAGGACTCTGATGGTAAAGACTATGTATTATAGTGTACTTAGTCTCTACTATTCAAGTGAAACTTTTCAGCTATGTTTACACTGTTGTGCATGCAGTGGAAATGCACAGATCATGGATGTCATACTCAGCCTTTGGTATTTTGAGTCAAATTATGCACTGCATAAACAGGGCATAATTTAGAGCAGTCATACAGTGATGTATATTGTTGCTTGGTCTTTTCCATGATAGTACAGTTGTGACGTTTGAGTTTTTCACGGGAGAGGCAGAGGGAGACGAAAGTGAACTTGAGATCAATGCGAATATAACTAGAAGTGTGGCTACAGCAGAAGAAGTGTCCTTCACTCTCACTCCCACTGAGTATGATGCTTCGTTTGGCTTTCCCATTCCTACCTTTGATCCCAGATCACCCAACCTTGCAACACGTAAGAAAAATTCTTAAACAAACACGTGCAGTGGTAATAATGATGCAATCTACCACCAGCCGGGGCAGACTATGTGCCTGATGTGATACAGTTCACCGTACCTCCTGGAGATGGCCCAACAGTCATTGCAGTACCCATTATTGATGATGTCATAGCAGAAGATTCCAACCAATATTTCATTGGAGTCCTGGGCTTCAGTGGAAATCCAACTGGAGCAGTGCTGGGGAGAGATGCTATACTTTTGGGAATCCAAGACAACGACCGTAAGAGATTCTCTATTCAGTTCTTGTTCGTGAATGTTGTTATTGTGTTTTGCAGAAGCAACTATTAGATTCCAGTTTCTCTTGAGTGTTGTTGACGAACAAGATGTAGATTTTACCCACAACCTCCTCGTGACTAGAGACGTAGACTCTGAGCAGAACTACTCCATTGCTCTCCGTGGCTCACCTAATACAGCTGAGGACGACGACTTCTTTGTGTCTGACGACACGTTCTATTTCCCTCCGGACGTGTCCAGTATCAACGTGTCAGTCACCATTCGTGGAGACACGAGAATTGAACTGGCAGAGACGTTTGACGTAAGGCTACGTCAGAGAGGAGGTCCAAACTTTGTCGTTGACCCTCTGACCAGAAATATCATTGTGGAAATCAGAGATAATGATGGAGGTTTGTCTATACTACTTATTTTGCCTACATAAGTCAATCTAAAACTTGCCCAATGAACTAAGGAGTTAAACTGAATCTCTCACATTGTATGGAATGTTTATTGGAAAGTAAACACGTTCCTTAAACTCGAATGGTTAATATAGTGACATTCAATGGCACTGTTAGATCAGTATGTAAAATGTAGTGCAGAATGTTTTAGAGTGAAGTAAAAAGGACCCTCTTTCTCCTTTATTCTCTCATTCATTCTCTCCCCTCAGACTACATCTACGTACCAGCCCAGAGTACCTATACTGTCCCTGAAGGAGAACAGAGAGAAGTCAGTTTTGTCCTGGATAACCCACCACCTGATGGAGTCTTTGAGTTTGACTACAATGTCGTCCTCTCTACTGCAGATGGCTCTGCCACTGGTATGCACAAGATTACTATGTACATTGCTCACATGCAAACCCCTCGGACAGTGCACCACTACACTAACATTATATAATATGACAATTTGGTCATTAAACTGTTAACCTCATGAAAGTACATGTTTTCCGTATTCCACTGTCTAGTCCAACCCCTAGCCTTGCCCCCTTCTCGTATTCAATTGTCTATGATGTAAGAACCGAGATTTTAGTGTGTATGGTCATGTATCTTTGCTGAATAGGCAAATGAGTTACAGGCATTTTATTACTCCGCATGTCATATGTCTCTGCAGGAGGCAGTGACTACATGTCCATAGTGGATGAGGTGATAGCAGCTAGTACGATGCCCAATGGAGTGGTGTCCATGAATGTGAGTGTCTTCAGTGATGACAGAGTGGAGCTGGAGGAGACATTCTCAGTGGTGGGTAGGGTCATGGAGAGTAGCCAGATCGCTTACGGAATTGGCAAGGAGTTCCCTGTGGTCTTCCAGAGCCCTCTCGACGTCTCCATCATCAATGAAAATGGTATGGGATCACATTCACACACGCAGACAATTGGTTTGTGTTAATAGCCTATACAGTAGATTGGTTGGACTTAAATTTCCTTGCTAGCTCACTTAACATAAGACTTTCACTCATTAAACTTTCACAGCTTCTAGATCTATAGATTCAGTCTAGATCTGTCTTTCAATTGTCTTTTCTTTTTCTAACTGCCCCCTAAAATATTTCTCTACATTAATTTCTTGACATTAAGGCTTTCACACTAATTTTCTGCATATACAGTCTCTTTTTCCACTGTCTTGTTTATTTTGCTCTGTCTCTCTTTCTCCACGTCACACGGAGCAGTTGTAAGTCTGAGGTTCGCGGATGTGGCAGTCACTGTCACAGAGGGTGGCTCACTGCTAGTGTGTCTGGAGCCAGTCGACACTGACGTTCTCGACGCAGAATTCACTGTACAACTGTCTCTGCTGAGTGGAAGTGCCACGGGAGGTATGTACAAAACTAGGAGCCCAGTACTAGAAATATCGCCATACTCAGGCAATAGTAGAAGCCTCTCCTAAACCTTCTATTGTAGCCGCAAGCATTCTGTATGCCGTTGGTTACTTAGCAATTGTTTGCTAAAGCTGAAGCTTTTTATTCTGAGCCTGAATTTGCTGTATACAAGGAGCGTTAAAATGAAACATAGAAAGGGAAAGAGTCATTGTGGTACAAATCTGACATTACGTACTTTACCATGTACATGGGTAGTAGTGAGTATACATTCAAGTGCCCCATGCTCTGTGTGATGTGTATGTCAGGTGTTGACTATGTCTCGGAGGATCTGACAGTGACCATAGGACCAACTGGCTCAGGCTCACCAGATACTTTGGTCTGCATCAACATTGACACTGCCACTGACACTGACATCGAGGGAGATGAGAGTTTAACAGTGATAGGGACAGTCACCAATAATGCTGATCTGACAGAGTTCCCAGACGGAAACATGGTGTCTATCACCATTCAGGATGCTAGTGGTGAGTGGTGGATAGGGCAGAGATTTACGCTAGCAGTGGGTTTGTTGTAGGGGTCTAATTGTGGGTAATGTGCGACTCCTGTCATTGTAATTGACTCTCCGCTTCCTCCACTGATGGACATGCATCTCTCCTCCCTCTCTCTCTCTCTGTAATATCAACTGTACTACCATCATTAGTTACTTCTTTTCTTTCCCTTAGTCTTACTTTCTCTCCCTCTCTCTCACTTTTCTCTCCCTCCTACTATTCACCTTTCTCTAACTCTCCCTCCTCCCTACCTCCTCTCTCCCACCTCACCATCTCTTCATTCACTCACTCTCCCCCACAGTTGAACTGGGTGTGGAGCAGATAGCGTACGAAGTGTCGGAGGCAGACGGCTCTCTGGAAGTGTGTGCAGTTGTAAATAATGGAACTGTCGTTAACCCAGTCACCATCTCTGTGTCTCTATCTCCAGTCTCTGCTACTGGCAAGTATTCTTACAACTGCGTAATACACACAGAACGTAGCTACTTGTGCAATATTAATTTTTATCAACAAAAATTGTGTCATTCTGTGTTCAGAAGGAGATGAGTACGTACTGGAGGATGAGGTGGTGACTCTGGATGCTGGGTCATCAGTGGGGTGTGCTACAATTAGAATAGTGTCCGATGACCTCATTGAAGGACCTGAGGACTTTATCGTGCAGATAACCACCGACGATGCATTTGCTGTTATATCCAATGACTTGGCACTTGTGACCATCACTGGAGAGATAGGTGAGGAGGAGAAAAAAGGGAGATGGAGGAAAAATATAGAGAGAAGAGAAACAAGAAAATCACTCTGTTATGTTGTTTTCCTACTTCATTCTCTATGGACTTATTGGCAGAAATTCTTTCCTATTATTTCTAGCCATAAATTACGACTTTTGTTTTTTGACCAGAGTGTATTATTGGAAAACTGTTCTTTTCAATGTGCAGCGATGGTAGGGTTCGACCAGACAATGTATGCAGTGATGGAGGGTCTTAATCCAACAGTGGATGTGTGTTTCACAGTCAGGAATGGCCGAGTGGCCAACAGTCTCACTGTTCCCATCTCTGTCCTCCCCACATCCACTGCCACAGGTCAGGGATCTATGTTTTCTGCCTACCTTGAGCTACTTGAAGGAAAATTACTGTGGTTTCCCCCTCTTCTGAGGTTAAGAGTCTTAGAAAAGTGTAATCGGGTCGACGAACGCCGAAGGACTGGTGCTCGCGCAATACGGTTGAGCGCGTTGTTGACTGACAGCAATCTTAGGAACCGAGACTATAATACATTTTACAACATCACTTTTATAGGCTGTGACCATTTGCGCATTGGTGATGATCTGGGCAACAACATACATGACCATTACAGTGGTGTGAACATGACTACCGTAGTCTGGTGCAATAGTGTGTGACACAGCTGTCTGGTGTTGAAGAACCATGTCAGTCTGATGCCATAGTGTGTGCGACAGCTGGGACCTGCTTACATAACTCCCTTATCCAAAAAGAATTCGTCTCGAATTCAGCAGGGGATACCGGGGCGATATCGGTCTGGGGGAGCTCTATTTCGTCTTGGGTAGCGAGGTGCAGGTGGAGGGAGAAGTGGTGGAGGTAGTGGCAGGGGCGCGCCTGCAGCCTTGACTGGAGGTATGATCGAGTCCCTGTTCACTGGCGGTAGGGCTGTACCATCACCGGGCTGAAGTGGTGTATCTGTGTCATCCTCCAGCAGTTCCAGGCCAGCACCCACCGGTGGTCTCTGAGCAGGACGTGGGTTAGCTGAGTATTCTCTCAAGGCTGGTAGCGGCAAACGGGTGTCTGGCGAACATGGCTTCAACCGGTCAAAGTGCACTACACGTCTCTTGCGACGATTTCTTGTGTGTTGAATCCTATAGACCGCTTCAGATAGTCTGCGCACCACCTTGAATGGCCCCGTCCATGGGCAATGAAGTTTCTTAGGTTTCCCTTTTGGTACAGCCGGGCTGTTGAGCCAAACCAGGTCACCTTTGTCAAATGGTTGTCCGTGAACTTTGCGGTCGTAAAATTCTTTCTGGCGTTTCAGTTTTGCTGCAGTAGTAGTTCTGACTTGCTGGTAAGCAGATGTGAGGCTGTCGCGCAGTTCAGCTACATACTTCGGCACAGGTGCTGACGAAACACCAGGGGTCCCGTACATGATATCTACTGGCATCCGTACTTGTCTACCGAACATAAGGAAGAAAGGTGTGTGTCCAGTTGTTGGATTGACACTGGTGTTGTAGGCTAGGCAGAGTCGACGGATGTGGTGCTCCCACTGAGATGGATAGTCACCAACAGATTTCGAGAGCATGTCCAACAGGGTTCGGTTGAATCTTTCAACCAGTCCATCAGACTGTGGGTGGTAGGGTGTGGTACGAGACTTGTTGATTCCCAGCAGCTTGCATGTCTCGGCGATAACAGCAGACTCGAAATTCCTTCCTTGATCAGAGTGGAGTCTCTCTGGTGGTGAAAAGCGACAAAAGAATTCGTCCACTAGCTTCCTCGCCACAGTCGTGGCTTCCTGATTTGGAATTGGGTAAGCCTCGACCCACCGTGTGAAGTAGTCGGCTGCGACTAAAACATACTTGTTTCCCGACGGTGACTCTGGGAAGGGTCCTACCACATCCATAGCCACCAACTGCATAGGATAGCCAGCCACGATACTGGTTAGAGGAGCTTTCCTTGACTTAGGTGATGGAGCCTTCCGAGATGCGCATGAACCACAGTTGCTGCACCAGTCTTTGACATCATTGAAATGCCCTGGCCAATAGAATCGTTCTTTCAGTCGGGCGAGTGTCTTGTCCACACCAAAGTGACCCCCCCGCAGCACCCTCATGTAGCTCCGCCAGCACCTCCTTTCGAAGTTTCGAAGGGACGACAACTTGTAAGTTTGAGGTGTGGCCTTGGCGAGACTCGAACTGTCGACATAGGACTTTGTCTGCGACCACCAGTTGTTCCCAGAGCTGGAGAAGTCTTCGGGATGACGGACTTGGGTTTCCGAGCTGGGTAGAGTTCGGCTTTTCACCCATCTCTTTTCCTCTGAGAAGTGGACCCAGAATGGGGTCAGCCAGTTGGACGTCCCTGATGCTGTCACCTATCGCATTTGGAACTGATTGGAGGATAGCAGTGGCCGAGACTACAGCATCTGTTGGTGTGACGTGACTCTCTCGTCCGCACTGCTGGCAAGGTAGCCGGGAAAGTGCATCGGCATTCGTGTGGGCCTTGCCTCGGCGATGAACGATGTCAAAGTCGAGTTCCTCTAGTCGTTCCAGCCAGCGTGCGATCTGGCCCTCTGGATCTCGAAAATTCCGTAACCAGGTAAGAGACCCATGGTCCGTGCGGAGTATGAACTTCCGTCCCATCAGATAAGGGCGGTACTGCCGTGTGAACTGTACAACCGCAAGAAGCTCCCGTCTTGTGACACAGTAACGTCTCTCTGGTTTAGTGAGAGCTCGACTTCCATAGGCGATCACCCGTTCGTGTCCCTCCTCATCAACCTGGGACAGGACTGCCCCAATGCCGACGTCACTGGCATCGGTGTCCAGGATGAATTCTCGCGAAAAGTCTGGGAATGCCAGAATGGGTGCCGAGCACAGGCGATGGCGGAGTTCCTCAAATGCTATCTGGCAGTCGTTGGTCCATACAAAGGGTGATGTATGTTCCGTGAGGCGATGAAGGGGACGAGCGATGGAAGCGAAGTCTCTGACGAATCGCCGGTAATAACCCGCAAAGCCCAAGAACTGCTGGACTTCTCGCTTGGTTGTTGGTAGCGGCCATGAAGAGACTTTCTGTGTCTTCTTGGGGTCAGTGGAGACGCCTTTTCGGGAAATGATGTACCCCAGGTATTGCACTTCACTTTGGAAAAAGGAACATTTCGATGGTTTCAGACGCAGTCCAGACTCACGGAGGCGCTGGAGGACGGAGCGTAAGTTGCAGAGGTGCTCTTGGAAAGTATGACCCACTACGATCACATCATCTAGATAGACGAGACACTCCCGCCACTGGAGACCGGCGAGCACAAGATCCATCAGCCGCTGGAAAGTTGCTGGTGCATTGCACAATCCAAATGGCATCACGCGGAATTGGTAGAGGCCTTCTGTAGTGCAAAAAGCGCAGGGTACGATTAGGCAGTTCGTAGTTGCTCGTTTTGCTCAACGAGGAATCAAGGCCAAGGATGGCCTGAGACGTGAGAGGGGTGACCACCACAGCATCCACGACAAAGGGTTTGACCCTAGTCCTAGGGTGAGTTTGGTACGAGACCATGGACATCCAATGGCTTCTCCTCCTCCAGCTCCGAGAAGTCGTATGATGGACAGGGTGTGAGGGGCAATGGGTTGCGGGTCACAATCTTTCCCCAACGTCCACCGAAGCAAAGTGGCAGCTGATCCTTGTCAACGAGCATTGACACTGCGATCCCATTGAGGGACCTGTGAGGCGAAACCCACTTAGGCGGCAGGTGAGGCATAACTGAGTGTTCGAAACGTTGGACCGGACTTTAGTCGTCCTCCGGCGATGGTCCTTGGGCCGGAGGAAGTCAGTTTTTTCCGCTGCCTCCACGAGTTTGACGACAGTTCCGTGCCATATATTGCCAGGTGTGCCCGCACCTCCAGCATTCTCCCGGAGAACGGACGGATCCTCCTTTGTTGAGGGCGGGTGCAGCTGTCTGTAGACTTTCCACCTGTTCCGCGAGTTGTTTCACACACGTTTAGTCAGCTGTTCGAGGTGGGTATGGTTGGGAAGTAGGGTCTTTATTCCATCTTGTCTTGGCTTCGGACTTTACGGCGATCAGACAGCTTCCTCGGGTTCCGTAGCGGAAACCCCCGCAGGTTCGGAGGGCTAACGTACTACGCCAGCTCAGTGTTGCCGCCACGGCATGGTCTTAGTGAAGCCCCCCGTTTTTGTTTTACTGCTGAATGCGACCTGCGGAGGCATCAGTTTCTGTAAAAACGAGTTGATGGCCAGTTGCTCCCGAGCCTCGTCCTGGGAGCGTGGGTGTACGCTTTGTCGCCAATGCTTTCAAGTCGTTCTGCGAAGTGCTGCCCCCCCTCTCCGTCGCTTTCTTACTGCGCGCCTGAAACTCGGCTTGGTAGCGGGTATGGCGACTCTCCCGGTTCAAAGCGGGCTTTCAGAGCGGCACGGGCTGCCGCATATCGACGGCGGACCGTCTCAGGGAGTCGCTGTAGGGCCTTCTGGCCGTCCCGTGAGACGAACTCGGAGCCATTCAGTTTGTCCCGCATCGATCCCATCGGTTGACGGCGGCGACTCTCGAAATGGAAGGCCCACCCGTCCCAGCTGCTCGTTTCCTCGTTACACCTCTGGGTTGATTGCTATCGTTGTCGGCTTTGTTTTTTCTTGTGTGTGGACCTCCGCCTGCAGCGTCTTCTCCTTTTTCTCTTCCCCGTTCTCTTCTCCGTCGTCCTATAGTCCTCCCTTTTCCTTCTGCCTCTCTACCATCCGCCCTTTTGGAGGCTCGCTCGAAGGATTGCCGGCCTCCGTTATTTGACGGTGCGCGTTGTGTTGACTGACAGCAAATCTTAGGAACGCGAGACTATAATACATTTTACAAACATACTTTTATATGGCTTTGACCATTTGCGCATGGTGATGATCTGGGCAACAACCTACATGACCATTACAGTGTGTGAACATGACTACCGTAGTCGGTGCAATAGTGTGTGACACAGCTGTCTGGTGTTGAAGAACATGTCAGTCTGATCCATGTGTTGCGACACTGGGACCA